TTAGGGGAAAACATGCATATAGAGAAAGAAACATTGATCAAGAGTAAAGAAGAAATGAAAGAGGCAAGAAAAGGGGAATATGATTCATTAAACATACCAGCCACAGTGGTCCATGCCTATAATCCCAGGGACTCAGGAGGCTGAGGCAGGAGGATCACAAGTTCAAAACCAGCCTCAGCAATATAGTAAGGCTATAAGCAACTTAGCAAGAACCTGTCTCAAAAATAAAATATTAAAAGGGGAGGTGGGGCTGGGGATGTTGCTCAGTGGTTGGGTTCAATCCCCGGTATCAAATAAAAATAATAGTAATAATAATTCATGAATCATGGCCCTGAAGGAATCATAAGGAATCAAATCAATGGTACAAATAAAGAAGTTGGTAGCAAAAGAAAGAAACAACCTTACCTGTGAGATGCCAGAGGAGAAGGAAAGTGAAAAGATAGAAAGATACAGGAACATGAATGATTTTCAGTCTTTTTTTTTCCCTGATTCTGAAAATGATCCAATCAATTTCTGGAACACATAAAGGCATACAGAAGAAAATAGCTATCATTATTAATAACCATAAAATGTAAAACATTTGACTTTTAACATTATTACAAATATCCTTCCAGTCTTTTTTATACATTTTTGAGATTATGAACTATTTCAAACACTATTACTTTATTGAGTCAAATTCATCAATTTTTATGGTTCCTTTATTCTGAATTGCTATTGAAAAGATGTTCCTCTTTCTGCAATTTCAAGAGAATTCCACATTTTCTCTTAGCACATTCATGATTTTTCCATTTTTCATGACAATGTTTGATCAATTTAGAATTTAAGCATAGGAACAAAATAGTGAAGCTTCACGTAGCTACACTGTTGCATTAGATCTTAATTTTAAGGTTAACTATACTTTATTAAGGTTTAATTTTTATACAATAAAATGCATCAATTGAAAGTACACAGTCCTGTGAGGTTTGAAGCCCACCCGCACTCCTATAATCATCACACAGATCAAAGCAGAATAGAAGGTCAAGATGTAGAACATCAGCCTTCAACCTTCCTTCATGCTCTTTCCAGTCAACCCACCTCCCGCACTGTTCTGATGCCCAACACTGCAGACAAGTCTTCCTGCCCTTGAGGTTGGTGTAAGCGAAGACCACACTGTTTGTATTTCCTGTGCCTGGCTTCTCTAGCTCAGTACATTCCTGAGATTCTTCCATGCTGTTGTGAGCAGCAGTGGCTCATTCTTTATTGTTGTTGAGTACTAGTCCACACTAAATAAATATGTCACAGCTTGTTGATCCACTGTCCTGTTTATAAGCATTTGGGTTAGCTCCATGTTGGTGCTATTAAGAATGTAGTTGCCATAAGAATTCTTGTATGAGTCTTTGGGGTAAGAATATACTCATTACTTTTGGCCAGATACCTGGGAATGAAATTGCTGGGTCCTGGGAAGAGTCCTCTGTTGTCAGGTGTGTGTGTTCAGATAGATAGATAGAAAATGTATATATATTATATATAAATATTTATAAATTTAGTCCTTGCTTTTACTTCTAAAGAGATTAAAACTCTCAATATAAATATACTGAGAAGCTCAGAAGAGATTTAAATCAATTTTTATATAATAACTTTATTATATTCTATGTTAATATAGAGAGAAAGAATACTTTCACCCAATCTATGCCTTGCCTTTTTGCTTTCTTAGCTACTCATTTTGACCAGCAAAAGTTTTTCATTTTGATGACGTCCAATCTGTTTTTAACAGTGTCCTCCATGTGCTAAGAAATCTTTGCCTAGTGCAAGGTTATAAATATAGTCTTCTATACTTTCTTATAAAAACTTTAAACTTGCAAACTTCACACATAAGTGATCCATCTCGAATTAGAAGAATTATTAAATACTGGTGAGGTCGAGATCAAGATGTGATTTTTCCTATGCGATCAATCACCTATTTGATTCAGCAACATTTGTTGAAAAGGCTTTCTCATTCTCATGGACTTGCTTTGAGAACTTGTCAAAAATCAACTCACCCAATGTATATACACCTAGAATCCCAGCTACTCAGAAGGCTAAAGCTGGAGGATCAACAAGTTTGAGGTCAAGGCAAATGAGACCCTGTCTCAAAATTTTTAAAATAAAATAAAATAAAAAGGACTGGGAATGTCACTCAGTGGTAGACACTTGCCTAACTTGCCCTAGGCTCATTCTCACTGCCAAAAAAAAAAAAAAAAAAAAAAATCCACTAGACCCTATATTCTTTCTCTTTGATCTATTTGCCAATATTTATGTCTATATCACACTGTCTTAATTATAGTAACATTATAGTAATTGCATGAATTTATGCACAAGCAATACATTTGTTACCAAACTTTGATTTTTCCCAAACATTTTGATTGTTGACAACCTTTTATTTTTCTCTAATGTGAAAGGTGTAAAATAAAATAATACCTCCGTATAGTTTAAATTCACATCTTCCTTCCTACAAGTGACATTAAGCACTATTTCTTATTTTAAGTGTCTTTTGTATTTTCTTTCTGGTCACTCTCTGTAATATCATTGCAAATATTCTTTCCCGGGTTTTCATCTTGTATTCTAATTTTATCGATTGTGTTCAATCAATATTATTTTATGTAGTCACATTTGTCCAGTTTTTATGATTTCTTACTTTTGAGTCAATTTTGAAAAGTCTGACTGCAAAATTATAAAATAATTATCCTGTGTTTTCTCTGAACACATTCATTTTTTCACATCTGAGTCTTGGATCCACCTGGAATTTGTCCTGCTATGAGGCATGAGGTGTTATTCCTACATTCCCTGCACCCTGGAGAGTGGTGTGGAATCATCCCCAGAACACAGATGAAGGTCTACATTTTCCCCTTTGTTTATAAGTGTTCTGTTTATCACATACTAAATCCCAACCTGTTTGGGAGTCTTTTTCTAGACTTCTAAGTCTATTCTTTTGGTCTGGTCTGCCCAACAATTTATGCATCAATATCGTACTATCTTAGTTATCGAAGTTTCAAAATATATGTTAATATTTTGAAAGGACTATTTTTTCAGAATTTTCCTAATTATTCATATTTTTCAGTTTTCCTCATAAAATTTCAGAATGATCTTGTCTAGTTGAAAAAAAATGACATCTATTTTGGGAAGATCTTAATACATTATTGAGACTGAAGTTAACATAGAGACAATTGATATTTTTATAATGATGAATACTGTATTTCCATTTTAGAACATGATGTATCTTTCTATTTATTCTAGGTTTCTGTCCTTCAGTCTATGTTAACATAGTATTTACATAAATCTTATACCTTTCTAACTAAATTTATTCCTACATATTTCATATGTGTGGATGCTATTGAAAATTAGGGGGCTACATGGCAAAGAGGAAATAAAGTTGCTAATCAGTGGACAACAGAGGAAGATTGGACTGGACTATCTGGGTGGCCCCATGTGGTCACAGGGGTCCTTAAATGTGTAAGAGGGAAGCAGAAGTGTCTGAATGATGTGATGTGAGAAGGACTGGAGGAGTCCTGACTGGTTTTGGAGATGGAAGTGGGTCACAAGCCAAAGATGTTGTGTACAGTTTCCATCACTGTCCAAAAAAACACTGGAGATAAACAATTCATAAGAAGGAAAAGCCTATTTTTGGCTCATGGTTTCAGTCTATGGTCAACCGGCTCCATTGCTTTGGGACCCACGGTGAGGTAGTACATCGTGGTGGGAGAATCTGGCCGAGGAAACTACTTGTCTCATAGCAGCCAGGAGGCAAAGAAAGAGGGAGAGGATGAGGCTGGGTCCCAATATCCTTTCCAATGGATGCCCCCAGTGACCTAGCTTTTTCTCAGGAGGCCCCACCTCTTACAGGTGCCATCTTGAGTCACTATTGGAAAGGCCTTCTGACTGCATATTCATAAAATAATTATCTTGCATTTTCTCTGAACACATTTATGATTCATTTTTTTTCGTATCTGAATCACCTCCCACTAGCACCAAAGGCTGACCTTTGGAAGACACCTGTCTGAACCCCAGCAGACATGGGCAGCCTCTAGAAGCTGAAAAAGACAAGAGAAGGATTCTCCCCTCCAGCCCCCATAAAGGTTCAGAATCAAGTAACTTTTTAAAGAAAATACTCAGAAAGAACACGTATACCTCCCTACAGATCATATTTAAACATCAAACATAAACCAACAGCAGTGATAATTGTAAGATAATGGTATACCCCAGCAAACACTGAGCACTAAAAGTGCTATAAAGTGTGGGCTTTGGATAATCAAAAAGTAATTAGTCTCTTCCAAGAAATATCTTGTTAACATTCAAACTCTACCTAGAAAGCTAAAACACTAATTTGCCAATGACCTTTAAAAAGAGCCTGATTTAAAGGCTGGCCATGTCACTCAGTGATCAAGTGCTTGCTTGGTATGTGCGAGTCTCTGGGTTCAATCCCCAGCACTGAAAGAAAAGAAAAAATTGAAAAGCCTATCTAAGACTAACATTTTAATCCATGTTTACCATGTCCTAACAATGAAAGTGGAAAAATCAGCTGGACAGAACAAGATAAAATCCTATTTTCTAAGTTCACTGATTATTATTAGATATTCATAGTTTCCCTTTTTCTGCTGAAGAAAGGAAAAGAAGGAAGGACTTCTTCCCGGTCAATTCCAGGGGGTGAGGTCAACGAGGATTTAATGAACCTAATATACTCACACCTGCTTAATAATGGATGCTGTGAGGACTGTGACGACAGTTCCTTTTGAAGATACAATGTGAAGCTCTGGATCCAATGACACGTAGTAGTTGCGATGGGTAATAACTTAGTAACCGCCTAAATGCACCATTTTATGAGACAAGTAACTCTTCTCAGGCAAGTAAAAAGCAGACTAATGAGGTGTTCCTATGGGATTTGATATAAACATTAGAAAGCAAAACATCCCACCTATTGTGACACCACCTCTAGGGAAGGCTATATAAGCACTTCAAAGAGGAGACAGCCAACAGCTTGGGATTTAGACTCAGTCGAGGGTGCTTGAGCCAGTGACCACAGACTAGGAGACCAACTGAAGCTGGATACACGCTGTGGATACCGAGGGATCTAGAACAACTACTTCTTCTTCAACCCCACCCCAAAACTGCTCTGGGATTACAAATTTTAGGACCATGTCTGCTAACAACAGCTGCCAATCAACTGGCCACATACCAAGAACTCCCCAGAGCCAGGTCTGCCAATCCACTCATCGCCTTTGTTGCACCCCCATCTACCTCATAAGCAACTTCTGTGTCCATCCGTCTCTGGATGACTGCAGCTGGATGGGTGAAGGTATCAACAGTAACGAGAAGGAGACCATGCAGATCTTGAACGACCGCCTTGCTAACTTCCTGGAAAAGGTGCGAATGCTGGAACGAGAGAACGCTGAACTGGAGTGTAGAATCCAGGAAGAGTGTGACAAAGAGCTCCCTGTCCTGTGTCCTAATTACCTGTCCTACTACACCACCATCGAGGAGCTCCAGCAGAAGGTAAGATCCAGCCATCTGTTTAACCAAGTTGTGAATCGACGGTCTCCAAGCAATGGCTATTTGCTAAGCCTTAGCGGTTTTAGTTCTTTTTATGCTGAAAAAAAAAAGTTTATTGAAGAATAAGAAAAGCTCTTGAGTTAATTGTCAACTTGAGTTAACATTCAGATTTTAGAGTTTTTCCTATTGCCAGAGATAGGCTTTACCATTATAACTAGATAGCTCAGGACCAAATCAGGTTCACAACCAGTGGTTACCATTTCTTTGATACAAATAAGAAAGCAGGGCTCTTAAAAGATAAATTTTTCCTTAGTAAGTTTCTAAACAGTTTAGTTTTTAATCCGTGTTGGAACCATTCCACCTTTTTCTCCTCGTATGCTCCTTTTATCATCTTTACATTATTCAAATCATTTGTTCCGATACCTAAGTTTCTTATTCGGAGTGATATGCTGCTGTTACTACACATCTGGGTTCATTCAGTTTTATATTTTAAATATTTTCAGAGCACCTAGACATTGTTCTAGGTTCTGAAAAAAAATGTGGGTGAACTAAAAATATCCCTCCCTTCATGGAATTCATATTCTAATGGGTTGTGGTGTGTTAGGCATATTTGGGATAGATTTTATATTTTTAACAGAAAAACATATGCAAAAGTTCTTACTTATGTAATTTTTTGCTGATCTTTTAGGAAAATAACAAAACCTCTGTTTTTCTAAAATCTCCCAAGCTTCTTGAACATAGCTCTGGAGATTTATAAAAAGTTTAACTTGCCTTCCCCTAATTCACTGAAACACACACAACCTCTTCGGTTCTTAAAAGAAGGAGATCCTGGTGTTTGTCTCATTTGTGTGTACAATTTCTTAATTCTAGATCTTGTGTACCAAGGCTGAGAATTCCAGGCTGGTCTCACAAATTGACAACACCAAACTGGCTGCAGATGACTTGAGAGCCAAGTAAGCCCACCCAGCACTGTCACAATGACAAAATTTACCCCTGAGTCGGACCTAAGCAATCCCAGTACGATTATTCCCATGTCTACTAAGCCTCCTACTCCAGAGCATGTTGGCACTAGCTCCAAAGAGACCTGAAAATTCAGTAAATAATTAAGATTGGTAACCCTCACCTGTATATGTAGGACCTACAGTTCTAACATAAGAACTATCTGATTACATGCTTAACAGCTGGTTACATGATAACAGCTTAGTAAAATAGTTTAGTAAAAACGTAACAGCTTAGTAAAATAGATAATATGCTGTTATTCAGTTTAAGGTAAGAAAACTGGTGTAATGAGGAAGTTACCTATACAAAAGCAAACAGCCAAAATGTAGACGCAAGTCCCTGACCCCTAACCCTAATATCTTCTTACTAACACTGCATTGCCTCTAGGGGCAGAGGAAGAAGGATAAATGCCCTCATCTCCAAGAATAGCACTGTAGCATCACTCTGGCCAACTAATTTAGGCATAATAACTAAGTATGATATGTATCAAATGATATTTATCAGATGGTTTCACTTCTAAAGAGAATAAAACTCTCCATAGAAATAGAATGAATGAGAAGCCCAGAGAAAAACATGGAAGGGAGTTCTGCCTGGCTGGATTGGCACCATCTTCTTTTTAATGCCTTTCTTTTCATGTCTGGCTTTTGAAGCTATGAAGCTGAGGTGTCCCTACGCCAGCTCGTGGAGGCCGACGCCAACAGCCTACGGAAGATCCTGGATGCACTGACCCTGAGTAAGGCTGACCTGGAGGCGCGAGTGCAGTCTCTGAAGGAGGAGCTACTCTGCCTCAAAAACAGTCACCAAGAGGTTAGAAAAAGATCAAGAGGGTCAATACATGCTAAGCCTCTAAAATGAGCATGAGTTCCTTTGAATTGTGCTTGACAAAGGGCATTCCCATTAGATATTACTCAGGCTTTTAGCCCTGATAATACCAACTGCTCCTTCATGCACTATGGATTCAATGTATCTCAAACTCATTGGCTGCTACACAATATCTGGAGCCACTTGGATAGAAAATCCTCTGATGTTACAATTTCCCTATAATTGGTACAAGTCAAACTCGTACAAGCCCATATATGTATCATAGAGACTATGGGCTCTCGTTATCAATTCACCTCTATGTTGCTACCTCCATTACCCATCCCTAGAATTTATCTAGATTTTTTTGAAACTCTAATCTTATTAGTCAATTCCTTTTAATTTTGCACATATTTGAATACATAGTCATGTTTGAAATAGCTGTAAATAATTTTACGGCATATGGATACTACTATAAGTCATTGATTCCTTTATTGTGGACTGTAATTTAGATCGATGCAGTTAAACTGAATTCTTGCTGTTAAAAAAAGACATCAGAAGGTCATCTATTCACCAAATAACTTCACATTCTTTTTCTTTTCATAGGATATCAACTCCTTATGGGGGCAGCTTGGGGATAGACTCAACATTGAAGTAACTGCAGCCCCTTCTGTCGACATAAACCAGATTTTACAAGAAATGAGATGTCAGTATGAGTCCATCATGGAGACAAACCGTAAAGATGTGGAACAATGGTTCAACACCCAGGTAGGCAGAGTAGAAAAGTCAAAAAGCAATAAGCTGATGTGTTTCCAAGGGCCCTTCGTGGGTCGTGTTTTCCTTCCAAAATCCCCGTGGATTTTGTGTTTCAGATGGAGGAGCTGAATCAACAAGTGGTGACCAGCTCTCAACAGCAGCAGTGCTCCCAGAAGGAAATCGCAGAACTGAGACGTACTGTGAATGCTCTGGAGGTGGAACTACAGGCCCAGCACCGAATGGTACCCAGCATGCTAACCAAGCCTAGCTCAGCAAGGATGGCAGCAGCACCTGTGTGTCTGCCACAGTGCTTCCCAAACTCTGCCCCTCGGAACAGCTCCTCTGTTGGTTAAAGGGTCTATGGCTAAGAAAGGACTTCTTAGTCAAAAAAGGGGGAAATGCTCAATTAAACAAAGGTTAAACATACTGGTTTCCCATAAGCCTTTAACAAGCTGATATACACCATAAATCTCCAAAAAGGGGGTATATGGTATTGGGCACTCCAAAACTTGTTTTACTATGGACCTTCTTTTTTTTTTTTAAGTTTTTCATGGTAATAATGGAGTACACTTTGGAAAACACTAGGAAAGCATTTTATATATGCAAAGCATTTTTATAAGCTATCATATTAGAATTATAAAACAATCTTATGAGGGAGGTGGTATAATTATTATCCAACTTGACTGATGAGGTTCTAAGAGCTAAGGTGATTTTCCCAAGGAGAATCTAAAATAAATGTCCTCTCTCCTATTTGACACATTAAGACATCGAGATTGTAAGGCAGCAAGTAATCTGTCCAAAGTCGCAGAAGAAATGAGTCTGACCCACAATTCAGATTCCACAGCCAATACCACTTCCGCCTCATTACAATGCTTCTCTGATGTAAGAAATTACTGAAATGACCAACTATGAAAGGTATTACAAAGACTTGGCCCTTCGCTGGTTTTGTAACCTGAAAGTCATATGATCTTAGGCAACTTGTTTAACCTCTCAAACCTCAGTTTTCTCAACTAAAAACAAAACAAAACAAAAAAACAACTGGAGTATAAATATTTGGTTACTAAAACTTAAAAATCCCACCATTATTCATAGGTTTACACAATCAAAGAACTTTACTCATCCAACTTTCAACTTCTGTTTTACATAAAGGAATTGATCCAGTGAGGGAAATGTCTATGGTTAAACATTTTTCACTACCTTTTTCAGTATAAGAACTTACTGAATGAGATCTCATGATAATGCTTTTTTTTTTTTTTTTTTTTGTCCTGGAGATTGAACACAGGGGCATTTAACCACTGGCCACATCTCCAGCCCTTTCTATTTTTTATTTTGGGAAAGGGCCTTGCTAAGTTGCTGAGGATGGCTTTGAACTTGTGACCCTACTGCCTTAGCCTCCCAAGTCACTGGGAGGTGATGCATTTTTAATGCCTGGGTGTGCAATGAGTTGAATTTGTTTTTTTCTATTACAAGTAGCAGAATGTGGTAGGAGATTATCAGGTGGTCCAAAAATAAGAGGAAGAGAAATAAATACAAAGAGTATGTGTGGGGGGATGATAAAGGAAAACAAGCTTTAATATAATTGGTCATTTTGCTTTTAGATTTATGTGGCTAGGAGGTAATAAAAGGGCTTGGAGATCCATTACCAGTATCACAAAGAAATCATTGGTTTCAATGACTTAAACAATGACCTGGGCTTAAAGGAGTCGTCATTGTAAATCCTACTTTTCTTTTCCTCCTCCCTGGTAGAGAGATTCCCAGGAATGCATCCTGACAGAGACTGAGGCCCGCTACACGACCCTGCTGGCCCAGATCCAAAGTCTGGTCCATAACCTGGAGGCTCAGCTGGCAGAGATCCGCAGTGCCCTGGAAAGACAGAACCAGGAATATGACATTCTGCTGGATATTAAGTCCCGGCTGGAGTGTGAGATTGCCACATACCGCAGCCTTCTGGAGAGCTCAGACTGCAAGTAAGTAAAATGAAAACAACTTGTATGAGAAAAAATGCTAAAATGCACAATGTATGTACTGCCACAGGTATCCAGGGGACTGCACTTTGAGCTTCTTGCTTGTGCTGGGAAGCTCTGAATGCAGACTGTCTTAAGCTGTACCCTGCGAGACTACAATTATAACCTAGTCCAAACTTGAGGTATAGGCTGAACTGAGTTGCTCTGAAGAACCAGTATGTAAGTTAATTCCTTTGCTTCTTAGAGTTTTAAAAATTATTAGATAAAAAGGGATTTTCCCAAAGATGTACATTGCTAGCCACTGTTACAGACTGCCCCCCCCACCCACTGAGATGAATGCCTGACTTTGCCAAGTTGAAACAAGACAACCCTGGTCTCTTTGGGGAAACTCCGCCCCAGCTGAAACCCCTACTGCATCCAGCTGCTGGTTCTTAATGCCAATAGCAGTATATTCACAGGTGTGTTTCAGCATCTTTTTTTTTTAAGTTGTATTTTTAAAATGATGATAAGCTAACAAACCCATTAAAAACTCACCTGGAATATGAACACTTTGAAGTCACTCAGTCCAGACGAACACAAATGCATGCTTAGATGAAACTGCAAAGGACACCAACCTGCCCCAACTCATCACATCAGTGAGCTCTGTTCACGGTGCTTTTGTTTTGGGGGGGTGGTTACTGGGCTCTTTTTATTTTTATTTTTTATTTTGAGATAGGGTCTTACTAAGTTGCTTAGGGCCTAAGTTACTAAGACTGGCTTTGAACTTGTCATCCTCATGCCTCAGCCCCGCAAGCTGCTGGGATTGTAGGCATGCGCTACTGCACCCAGCTCACAGCATTCTCCAAACAGGCATGTCCCCATCATGTTAGCACAATGTTAACTGATTTCATCACCTTAATATTTCAAAGTGCCTCCTGTTATCAAAGTAAGATCATGTATTACAAAAGGTGTTTACTGTTAGTTGTTTACTACTCCAATTCTCTAAAAACTATTCATTTATAGAGGCCCAGAAGGCACTTTGAAGATTCCACATCTAAAGATCCCATAGATGGGATGCAAATCACCACTAGCAATGTGACTAGCTTCCCATGAGAAAAATATCTGATTCATTTCTGTTCCTCAACTTGTTCCTTATCTGTTGATCCTTAACTGTTGATCTTGTGAGGTTAGTTCCCATTATGTCCATTCTGCAGATGAAAAGCTAAAGCTCAGGAGCGTTAACTGAGCTACCTGAGGTCACCAGCTGGTAAGTGACAGAGCTGGACTCCACCACAATTTTTGACTCCCTTGCAGTATGAGTCCCGTGATGCTCTGACATTGGCCATATCGGAAGCTTACTTAACATAATATTTCTCAAGCTAGGATGCTGTTTTCCAATGGATCTGACCTGATTTTTTTTTTCTTCCACTGACTACAACAGAAAATGAATAAACACTTGGAAGCACTTATTTTGAGGGACAAGTTGTTGAAAACTTTGCCCACCCCCATTTTTCTTCATAGCCATCATTGCTCTTTCTCAATCATAGGTAAAACTCTGTTTTCTCCTCAGGCTTCCCTGTAACCCGTGTGCCACCCAATGCAAGCCTTCCACTTGCACATCCTCCAAGCCCAGCACCGTGGAATGCACCGCCCCAGTTTTCACATCCTCAGCCCCTAATGGGATACTCAAGCGGTACAACGTCTGTGGACCCCCGTCCCGGATACTGGTTAAAATATGCACCATCACCAAGGAGATTCAGGATGGGAAGGTCATTTCTTCTCATGAACATGTGCAGCCTTGCTTCATCCCCAGACTTGCCAAAGTCTAACGGCCCAAGGGGATGCAAAGGACCCCCATTCATGAGAGAAAGGCCAATACCTGCTCCTGCCAGAGAGGTTTAAGAACTCCCCAGGCCCTTAAGGTACTTAGTCTCTTACTACTACAGCGGGTCGCCATCACTAGATAGAGTGTCTTTTATTCCACTCCTTCCCTAAGTCGCTGCTGCCAACGTGATAATAAATTACATTTCTCTGGTAGGACATTTTGCATTCATCTGAAGGGTGGGAATGGATTAGCCAGTTCCTCGGGGAAGATGGCCTATGATGCTTGACTCCCCAGGTGTTGAACTGGCAGGTTTTTCTTTTGTTTACTCAGGCCTTATTTACTTATGTGCCTCCTTGGAGCCAGTCAGACAAGTTCCAGGATTGTTTTTGGCCATTGGCACACTAAGGTGAAAAGCTACAACCTTCCCTTCCAAGCTCCTTTTGTGGCTATAGAAAGAAGCCTATACAAAAACAGAGTAAATAAGGAAAAAAATATCTTTGATGTTTAGTTTCCTTGAATAGATAATCACAGGTCCTGTTGAACTCTGCTGCCTCAGTTTTTTGTTTATAGGTACTGACATACTTGACCCTCCCCAGGAAATTTTTGAAGATGTCCATGTTCTCTAAAACTTTGTGAACCATTAGGCTCTTCTCCAAATATTTTCTTTGAGAATCAGAAATAGTTATGGGGAATGAATGAATCTAGAGCTATTTCTTCAAAAATAATTTTGAAGAAACTGGGTCCTTTCGTTAAATGTTTACTCTTTCTCTTTCTATTCTTTAGGGAATGGGAGTTTGATCTGATTGTTTGAGAAGGGCCATGTAGCTGGATCTCTCAAGACATAACCCCCGATGGGTGATCATGAAAAAATAGCTTAGATTCCTGCTTCAATCTATCCATCAGAGATAAATGGACTTGATATTCACAAGCTTTGCAGAAAATCAATAGTGAATCATTGCTACTTGAAAGCACCAGGGAACCCCACTGTGAGAAGGTATTATTTATGTACTAGCCAGTACCATAGCTTCTTAACAGCAGAGCTCAGAGTATGTAAATCATTCCCTGCAAAAATGAGACGTTTTTGGAGGTTTTAGCAAATAATTCCAAATCAAACATATAATGGGGAGCCCAAAGGCCTTGTGTTCTAAACTTGCCATTTCCCAACTGTGACCCTGCACAGTTTAGATTCATTTCCTAGAGAAAGAAATTGCCTACTTCACAGGGCTGTTGTGAAGAGCAAATGAAATTGTTTATGTAATACTGCTGTTTGATGAAAAGCACTAGACAAATGTGATCTTAAATAAGCTTTGCTATTAGCTACAGCTCTGGACATAATTTTATTCATTATTATCTTCTTAAAATTGTTTCTTCATGAATTATTTATCCAGTCATGATTTGAGAGTTTTAATAGTGTTTAGCTTCGGAGGGTGGGGGACAAAACAAGATGTCTTGTGATCATGCCTACAATTCTACTCAATAAAGCATTTTTTAAATTCTTAGGGTAAGTATCAGATGTCAGTTGATGCCTGGTGCCCACATCAAAGATGTTTACAGTAACTCACAGCTCAGAGATTTACTTCCTCCAGACAAGTAGCAACTCACACTAACCTAGTGGAATGCAGAATTCCCAGAATGGACTCTTTTCTATTGATGATTTCTCATCCAAATGAGCAAAGTACCTCCAGTCAGCACTTAAGTGCATATTATCTCAGACTACAGGATGGAAATATGGAAAAGAGCCAAGAACTTGAACTAGAAACCATGGTACAGAGTCTCAACCCATTTTGTATGTATGATCTTGAGTAAAACGAACTTTACAACCTGGGCCCCATCTAAAAAGTGGCTGATAGGATTAAGTGGGATAATGACAGAATATTGCAAAGTGGTGGTGCTATGCAGAAAGCAGTCCTTATTCCCTAAATTAAAAGCCAGACATATGTCATTTCCATCCATCTTCCTCCTTTCTAAGCATTGCAAGCCAGGTGGATCCTGATACATACCATCAACACTTACTGGAAAACTAATTGGCAAGAGGTCAGAGCTGCTCAACCTGCTTTGAGCTTCTGATCCCAACTAGATAGAAGGGTCAGTGGACTCAGGCTAACCTTAGGCTGATGCAGCAATGCCATTATCAGTTCATCCCAGAAATTTGGCATCTTCTACCCACTCAGAGCAAAGTATCCCTCATCCCTTCTGTAATAAAAATAAGTTTTTATGAACTGCACAGTCACGAGGGAATGGGCCTCTCAAGGGCTTATAGATTTTTGAATTGTCTTCTTTGAATAAGAGAATGTAAACCCATCTGCAGAACCTTGTCTACATGTGGCCAAATCTTTTCAAGGCAATGTGAGTCTGGATTTTACCAGGAAACTAAATAAGTATCCTATATAGCCACAGGAGGGAGTTAAAGGGTTTTTACATAGTTCAGCATAGGTCAGCAGCTGGAGTAGAAAAGAGGCTTGTGGGAGACAAAGGATTCCCTACGAGTATAATTCTAGCACAGCTCAAAAGAGCCATGAATTAGGAAACACCATGGTCTCTGAAGCTTGAGTTCAAATCCTTTCTCTGCTTTTCACTGTGAGAGTCCATAATTACATTTCTAAACAAAAGAGATGTTTTGGAGATATTTTTTCTAGACTTTGTCTTTCTTCATGTTGATTCACCCTAATGTCATAGCTGCTTCCAACTCTCCCAAATACACAGATAACCACCCTTTGCTTCTTGCCCTTTAACTGCCCCCATGCCCGCTCCTCCGGCACAGGGCAAGTGGCCTCTCCATGCTAACCTCTCAGCATCAATTCCAACACGGCCTAGAAACTTTTCCTCAAGAGTTCCTTAGCGGTAATCCCTTTCACGATTTCCCTCCTGGACTTCCCTAGTGCAATCCAGAAGCCACCTGCAGTCACATTTCCTGGGGAGCTTTAAAATTCAGATCCTTGAGAGGTATGCCAGACTTGCTGCATTCGCATTACCAGGTGTGGGACCTGGGAGTCCAATTTTTAACAAAACTCCCCAACAGAGGAGCATACACTGCATTCAAAGCTATTGCTTTATAATTGACAACTGATTTTTGGTATAAAGATCTGGATGACTCCATCTTTTTTTTCTCATCTTTTTTTATTAATACATATAAATTGTGCATATTAATGGGATGCATTCTAATATTTCCAAATATGTATACAGCATCCACCCTTCCTTTTGAGTGTCTCTTTTAGATTTTGTCACTAGCCTCATAGATGATCACATTTACAGATAGCTCCCCCTCTACATGTCAATCTGCCTGTTTATGAAAGGGAGTTAATCAATAATAATCAATAATTTAACAAACTTTGTTAATTCTTTAACCCTCACACCACCACCAGGAAGTAGCTACTATTAACAGTCCCATTAAACAGATGAAACAGCTAGACAGAGAGAAGTTCAATAATTCGTCAAATGCCACACCATAATGAAATTAAATTTTAAGTACTTTGTTTTCCTTAACACCTGACATATAATCAATCAGTCTCCCCAAACAGACATGATCCACAATAGCAATGACTGCTTTTCAAAGCACTCTTCTGTAATTGCTTGTCACTACTTCTAGTGAGATGCCATCAAGAAGAGAAGTTTTTAGGCTATTGCCACTAATCATTCTCTTCATCCAAAATGCAGAGATTAAGTGAGTTTTAGTATTAGGTATTTTGCTGGCAGCTCATAACCTTTTTTATATCATAGATAGAGAAACCAGAGAGCCCAGAGAGAAAGGTAACTGAACCATGAACCATGATGACTGATGAGAAAATATAGTTCTCTTTTCACCCGACAGTGACCTTGGGTTCTAGTCCTCGGGAGCATCACTTGGCTTCCCTGTGCTTGGGCCCTGAGTGCTCATCACAGAACTCTCCAGCTCTGATATCCTTAGTTTCTCTTGTAAGTGCTAATGTCATGGGGCCCACCTTATTGTGTCTAATCTTCTACATCCGCAAAGATGAAATGACACCCAAAGTGACATCCTCCAAACCCCTCACCCCAGTGCCTTTCAAAGGCAAGGAAATGGTGTCAATGGATGTTTTTGAGAAGCCACTACTGTACGCTGTTAGGATTAATTCCCATAATTTCTACCTATCAGACAATGGGGGGATGCATCTTCCTCTAGGGAGCCATGAACTTGTCCATGGCTGAAGAGATTCATCTTCATTCCGTCCATTTTGATTTCAAATCAAAGTCTTCATATTAAAAGTTATTTTCAAAGAAAATGTCCCCTCTAAATGAAAGGGAAGGAGAAAAATGCAAAGTTTCAGGAGAAAGGGGAAGTGTCCTGGAGAGGAGGGAGTAGCACCATCCACATCAGGGTGGAGGCTGAGGCATGCGACGTGTGGAGCCGTGGGTTAGTGTCGGTGCACGAAAGCCTGGCCAAGCGTTCCCTGCTTCAACACTATAATCAAATGTCTTTTATAGGAAATGAATCCTTGGCCTATTTGGCTGGCTGGAAATATCTGGTCAGTGTGTTCATACATGAGTCACAGGCTTACCGGGGACAACCCACGCACCCCGTACAAATGGGAACAACCCTGTTTGGCAACATTGAATAGGTTTATTCTAATTGCCATTAACCTTTCAGGTTGAGCATCATATCTGGAGAGTTTTCTTAGCCAATACCTTTAAGCCATAAGCCACCATTTAACATTCACGTAAGAAAAAATGTGTAAAATGCCAATGTTTATTAAACTTCTCAATGAAGGTGTCAATGATAGGAAAGTTTCTGAACAGATTTTTGTTATCTTTTGTTATCTTGAGCTCATTTCTTTCAATTTATGCAGCTGGTTTTAGAGAACTATCTATCCCCAACTCTAAGTAAGAGTACAAGTGTCTTCTCTCCGTGTCAGCTGCGGATTGTTTGTTGGCTCGTTTTTCACTAACCCACCAGAAAAAAAAATAATAAGTGCCCTCCTCCTTTACCGTCACTGTTCGAGAAATACATAAACCTGCCTTGTAGGATGGCCTCTGTGGTTACAGAGAGAAGTCTGATGGTAGAAGGCAGATAAAACAACAACCTATCAAACAGGACTTTGTTTTTTCAGGGGAAAAGGGAGAGTATAATTTTCTCCTTTTCTCCATCAAGTGATCCAGAAAGTCCAGAACTAAAGCATTAGAAAAAAGCTAGAAAAGGCCAGGCCTGGTGGTACAAGCTTATGATCCCAGAAACTTGGGAGGCTGAGGCAAAAGGATTACAAGTTTGAGGCCAGCCTCAGCAACTGAGTGAGGCCCTATGCAATTTAGCAAGACTCTCTATCAACATAAAAAAAATAAAAAGGACTGTGTATATACAGCTCAGTGATAAAGCATCCCTGGGTTCCATCTCCACTATATTAAAAAAAGAAAAAAAGGAACTGTTTTCCCCCCTCTGGCCAAGAAACAGAATCATGTACTGATTGAGAACAAATACTTAAATGTAGACCAGCACTGTCTGGTTTCCATTAGACAAATGACTTAACCTCTATAGCTCCACTTCTTCATCTGCAAAATGGAGCTATTAATAGCATCTGCTTCGTAGGGTTTGATGATGACATTAATTAATGACTGCAAAGCTCCAAGAGCAGGACTGGCACCCAGTAACACTGGTAGTAAGAGGCCATTGTGCTGCTTTGAGAAGCTTACATTCAATTGGAAAAAGAATCACACTCGAGCTAATGAGTTATTCCACATGAGCCAATTGTAAATGGCAGGAGTCATCCAAAGCTGTTTTAATAGCAAACAAAAGCACCAGATCAAGGTTAGAACCTTTCTTTTTAATAGAAAATGGAGTCATACAATAGCCCCAAGTAAAAAACCACATGCAGGTCAAAGACTTTTGTTTTCCAAAATGTCATGGAACTCAGTTGGAAAGGACCTTTCCATAATGTATCAACCTTTGCTCTTTGGGGGCAGCCAATAAGAAGAAGACGGCACCAAGAGGAGGAGGGAGACCAGCTTGACATCAGTCCTGCAGGAAGGATCATTTTTGTAGAGAACGCAAATGACAGGATAATTCAGATAGGACTGCTGGCCCTTCTACCAGTACATTTTATTTATTGTTTTTGTCCTTTGTGGCCCCAGTGTTCCCTGGGGCCTGGTTAGGGGTCCGCGGAGAAACCAGCAGGAAGGCTTCTACAAAACTCTCAGTGTTAACATGGTACAGCCAACTCATGATCAGAATTACCAGACACATGCAGAAACCACAGTGCCTTCTAAGGCCAGAACTAGGAAGAGCAGGGCTTCTTCTATTCAATCAAAAATGCATTGAACTTTTTGGCTCAGACATCATACTAAGGGTTTCACATGAATAATTGCACTCCACTCTCACAATTTCCCTGTCATACTATTATGATTCACACTTCACCAGCCACTGAACCAAAGCTTACAGAAGTAACTTGCTCAGTGTCACATGGTGCATAAATGGTAAGGTCAGAACTTGAACCAATGCTTATCTACCACACTCCAGATGCCCAGTCATTAATGTGATCACTCAAGTTTGATTATGTCATGTCTGTAGCATGATCAAAGACATAAAGAGTTCAAGAATCAAGGCTCGTCACCGAGTTCTAAAGAAAATGAGCCCTAAAGACACAACTCAGTAGTGTTTATATATATAGCCCAATCCAGGAAGAAGCAGGGCTGAACACAGTCACATCAGTACATGTAGGGCCAGAGCAGCTCTTCAGGATTCGTTCCTTAAGACCTCACATCTCTCTTCTGGTCCTATTTTTTCCAGAAACCTTCCTGTTTCAATTTGGTTTCTATAATTCTCAGATATAACAAAGATGCTCTGGTTTGCAAATGGAAACTCTATAGTGGCAGAATGGATCATCTTTCGGTATTAGCACATTTGCATTCTGGATCCTCCCTCTGGCACTTAAAGGTCAGGTTATTGTGAGTCAGCTCCTGAGAATCTCTTTGCTTCTGGTGCACCAATAGAAATAGGGCTCTGAACCCACCAGCCTGCAGACAGACCTCACAAAAGAGTATCCCCCTGTGAAGCTCTGCCCTGGAGACCAGATGACCTAACTAGATAGCATCTCCACCTCATCTTGGTCAAACTGCAGCACTCATGTCATTGGGTTCATGTGAAGTCTATTGTTTGAATATTGGCACTGTATAGTTCTGCCCCACTAGATGTAAAAC